ACACAATGGCCCCACAATCACACCATGGCCTATTGGTGTGATCGTGGGGGCATATAAAAGGTGGTGGCACATTTCTGGGGATTCACCTGGCTTCTCTGTCTCCCTTTCACATGGACCACTTCAGATCTTTGGCACTGGACGCACAGCAGTTGCCGGAGCCTTTTCTGGTGTACCTATGGAGCCTTGGAAGTGCATAGTTATGCAGGGAGTAGTCTCTTCCTTGGCCCCCTCCACATTTAAATCTTACAAGAAAACCTGGGCTGATTTTATAACGTTCCGTGTGCAGAATTTATCTATTGCTGTAGATCAACCCTCTTCTACAGATCAGGTTTCACAATACATAGCACACTTATATTAGCTTTGGCATGCAGCTAAGACTCTTAAAATCCAGTCTGCTGCCATTTCTTTTTTTAGCAAACCCCTGTTTGCCCATGATCTGTGTGCAGCTTTTGTGCTCCGGAAGGCTCTGGAGGGCTGACGTAGACTTCAACCATCTTCTGGTGTTGGCCGCAGGCCTGTCACCTTTGACCTATTATGTAAAATTCACAAAAAACTAAGATCTGTTTGCTGGTCCCGGTATGAGGCACGGTTGTTCTCTTCCAATTATTCTATCGCAATAGAATGGGTGAGGTTGTTTTTGAGGAGGTCTGTGGGGGAGTTCCTATGGGTCTGCACTTAGAGGACATATCTTTGGGAGAGGCGGAATTGGTGGTCCAGGATAGTCGGTCCAAAATGGACCAAAGGGGTAAGGGGGCCCTGCTTAAGTTGCCTGCAGCGCCGCATGTAAAAAACACCAGGAGGTATTTACAGATTAGGCCTCCTGGAATCCTACAGATTCGCCCCTTCTTGATACATGAGGATAGAAACCCTTTAGCAAGGCATCAATTCACTAGGGTTATGTGGAAGGCTATTGCGGCCTGTGGCTTGCCAGCATTAGAATTTGCTGCCCATTCTTTCAGGATTGGCGCCGCTATTACGGCAGTTCATTGGGGCCTTTCAGTGGACAGGATAAAAAACTTGGGCTGGTGGAAGTCCAATGCCTATAAGGGATACATCCAGAAAAGCAAGTAGCATGTTGTCCACCTCCTAACATGTTTTGTCTTTTCCTTTTTTTCAGTGTTGCCAGAGTTGCATGTGTGGATTGTGGGTCACAGCATCGTGCACTGGGCCAGTGTGCGAGCAGTGGAGACTGGCTTTGGGTGCCAGCTCGGCTTACTTGCTCAAGTCAAGGTTTCCTGGGTGTCCAGATGTGGGATGCACTGGAAAGAAGTTTTACCACTGGTGAAGTCTCAGGTGACCACTTGGGGCCCGCCTTCTGGTTGTGCAGCTGGGCAAAAATGACTTGCCACTGCTGAAGGGCATAGACTTGAGGACTTGCATTAAGAAGGACTTGGAGGAGCTGGCAGCAGTGCTCCCAGATACCACAATATTTTGGTCACAGTTCCTGGTGCGTCAGGTTTGGCACAATAGTTCATGCCCAGCTGCCACCAACACAACCAGGAAGCATGTTGACCCTGAGGTGTCAAACAAGGTGTTGGCGCTGGGTGGCATAGTGATTCACCACCCTGGTATTACCTTCAGTGATAGAACCCTGTTTCGGGCTGATAGTATGCATCTTTCTGATGGCGGAAATGATGTGTGGATGGACGAGATTGTTAGAGGTTTGAAGGATTGGTTACAGGATCTGAGGGTATTGGTGCCTTGTGTGGGGCTCGTGTGGCGGTTAGGCATTGGCTTATTGTGATGCGGTGGAAGGGAGGTGTGGCCATCATCATCTACTGGAATACAAGGGTATTCTAGTAAAGGAATCTGTGGGTCTAGATCTCATCCGCAGTCCGCTTGAGGGGTTAGGGCCATGCCAGGACCCAGCAGGAACCCCAGGGTGAGCATCAGTTGGTTGCCATCGACGGAGCTCCTTCCAGATTTCCTGCAAGGTGGGCAGGAGTCAGATATAGTTATTGCCAATGACTAAGCCAATACCACTCACATTGCTGTAATCAATAAAGTTTTGCCCTAAAGTTTTGCCCATTAACCTTAATCTAAAATTCTGTTTCAGTGTATATTTATTTATCCTTGGGGATGCTCTGCGGTCTTGATGCGCAATTAGGATTAAATGGAAGCCTGAAGATAACTTCCTTTTGAGTTCCTAGAAGAATTGGCCATTACTGGATTGTCCTTTGTAAGCAGCAATGTGAGTGAGCAGAGCTCAGGTGTATGCCAGCACCCCATTACGCTGTCTGCTGCTGGCTGATGTCTAAGTTTGAGCAGACCATGTACCTGTCAATCACCTGATCTTTTAATTTAAATTATTATCACTTTGTCTGTGAGAGTTTCCAGTAGGGAACAGGCAGAGACAACTAAAGAAAGCCTTTCAGGTGCAGGCTTCTTAACTCCTGCTAAGCAGCAGTGATGCAATTGAGTGGAGGTCAATTGAGAGCCACTGCACTACTATAATGTCTATTACTGCCATTGGGTGCACCCAGTTCCCCAACCTTCATATGTAAGCTCTAATACACATGATGGAAGAGCACCCTTCATATGAAGGGCAACCTAAGTTCCTTCAGCTGAACACTTATGGAAGCTCAAAATAGAAGTTCATGATCAGAAAGTAGAAGTAGAAGTTCATGATCAGAAAGAATTTGCCAGTGTTGCAAACAGATGAGGTGGGGGGAGAGGACAATAAAAATAGTTGTGATGTTACGTATATGAAATTTAGGTATGCATGACAAGGAAAAAAATGAAAAAGTATCCTTGCATACTAGAAGTCAATTAATTTTTGGAGCCTTTTTCATCTTCTTTGTACAATATTGTGCCTCAAGGGGCATCCTTCAGCAAATATAAATTAATTCAAGTGGCACCAACATGGGGAGAGCACAAACTTCCCTGGAGCAAAGATTCTCAAGAGATTTTGCAATGACATCTTTGTTTGCATATCTGAGAACAAGTAAATCTGGGGAATGCAGTTTGCTGATATTATACTGGTGTGTGCGTTTTGGATTTTTGTTGTCCATGAAACATTGCCACTTCTTTTCATTTACACATTGTGTACATTTCACTGGCAGAAATTAATGAATGAGACAACCTTAGCATACAAGGATTGGTGGAAATACTCTGATGCGATATCACTATTCTCCTGATCGCCTTGCTTTTCACATATATTGAGGAGCAACTGGGGCAGAACTGGGCTGGCTAGGTTGAGTTTTTCATCTGCTCAGCTCCCTTTGTGTCCTTCGCTTTCTGGATTGAACCAGCAGGCTCTTATGCATATTAAAAGAACTAGTAGGGAAATGGACAACATTTGTTTTGCACAGCACCATGGGACTGGTATGTTCTCCAAAGAGAGAACCAGAAATAGCACAGGAAAGGAGGATGACATCACCTTCTCCACCTCCTCCTGACAAGCCATGTACCTTCAAATAAATATCACCGTCAAGCACATTGGCACTCTAATCTGAGAGAAACAGTGGTGAGTATAATCCTTATTGATCTCTTTAAAGAGAATGAAGGGACTCAAGGATGCTCGAGCTTTCAATTCTGAAAAGATTGCAAAATGACTGATGTAGTAGTTGGTGTAAAGTGGACTTCTTATTTTTTTTTAAAGTATCATTTCTTTTATATATAGGAGAAGGCAACAGAAAACTTGGAAAAACTGTGCAGAGATATATTTCACACTGGAATATGGACAACTGACATTTGACAACTGACAAGAAATATGATAATGGAGTAAGTTCAAGTGCTACCATAACTCTCTCTTGTTCACAGCAACAATGGTGGTAAGCAGATACTCCGGAATTCTTCAGTAACTATGGCATTTCTGACAATGGGAAGCTTTTTATGATTCAGGGCACAGTCTTTATCTTGTCAGCTCATTAGATTGGCTGGGTAAACAAATTACTTACTGCATATGACAGAAATTAATTGAGAGATGGATGCTTCTGGGTTATCTTTTCCAAAAAATTTAAATGAAATTAATTATAATATATGGTAATACGATCACTAGAATAGAAATTACTTATCCAAATGGAATTTGTCTTGTCTTTTTTGAATAGGATAGAAATTAATATGATTCTGCCTGCACATTGAGAAGTATAGCCATTTTTTGAGTGTTTCCATGGGCCATGTTACTAGAAATAAATAAAATAATGTTTTGGATTTTTTTCAATTCTCCTTGCAGGTTGTTGAAATCTTTACTGTTTCAGTATTCTAGCAATCAGTCTTCATTCCTGAAACTTAATTCATTCAGGTTGATTCTTCACTGCTCTTAGGTAATATGTGAATTGCTATGCTGTTGTTCAATTGAAAAAAATGGAGAGCACCTTTCAAAACACATACACTTGGATGATAGTTTGTTGTCATATATTTTTGATGGAAAACCTCCAAATATTTGAGAACTGACAATTTTTTATTCCAATATACTTGAAGAAAGCTTCCATTTCCATGTTTTACATTACTAAAGTATTTAGCAAGAAATAGAAAAGCCTCACTGAGAATACACATAATACAATCTTTCAAAATATCCACAGTGATTTCATTTTTTTGTTTTATATGAAATTTCAGATAAACTTTCTAGAATGGTGGTTCCTTTACCCCATCTAGTTAATTCAGTGTGATCTCTCCCCCCCCCCAAAAAAATGTTACATGTTTCATTAAAATGGTTTATGTACATTTGATGGCAAAATGGAAGACTTCTGTAAAAACTGCACCATTTACATCATGTGGCACATGGCTTAGAAAGTATATGTATGTACCCAGTCTTTGAGGGTGGATAAATCATATTAGCTGAAGATATGTGAGTGCACATACTATCCCCATAAGGCTTCATGTCATATCAGAATGAAAGAACACATCAGCAGTTAATAGTGTGCATACATGGTTCTTGATGTGGATAAATGTGTTGTTGTGAACTAGCACAATATCTAAGATGATAATTTAAAAAAAATAGAATGTCCAAAAATTGGTAAGCTCCACTAACGCACAACTATTTAACTTCTATCTGCAGAATGACAGAAATGAGAGAAATGGCTAACCAATCTACTCCAACAGAGTTCCATCTCATGGGGTTTTCTGAAACTCGTGATATGCAGATTTTGCATTCTGCAATATTTCTCTTCATTTACTTAACAGCCTTAGTAGGAAATTCTCTCATCATCACAGCTGTGGCCCTAGACCGCCACCTTCACAGCCCGATGTACTTCTTTTTGATCAACCTGTCATTGCTTGATGTTTGCTCCATCTCCACCACTGTACCCAAATCCATCACCATTTCATTGACAAACAACAACATGATTTCTTTTGCCGGATGTGTCACACAGGTCTTCTTAGTGGTCACATTTGTTGGTGGTGAGCTTGCTTTGCTCACTGTTATGGCTTATGACCGTTTTGTAGCCATCTGTCACCCACTGCAATATACCTTAATCATGAATTGGGATGCCTGCATGCAAATGGTAGCTGCTTCCTGGATAAGCAACCTGATTCATGCAGTATTGGAAACCAGTTTTACTTTCGTGCTAAATTTCTGTGGGACCAATATCATTGAGCAATATTTTTGTGACATTCCTCAATTGCAAAAGATTTCTTGCAGTGATACAAATGTGAATCAAGTTCTGATTTTTGTCCTTGGGTTTTTTATTGACTCTTTTTGTTTTGCATTTATCTTTGCTTCCTATGGCTACATCTTCTCTGCTGTGCTGAGGATCCCATCAGTCCAAGGCAGATATAAAGCTTTCTCTACATGCACTCCTCACCTGACTGTCTTTTCTTTATTCATCACCACAGGTGTGTTTTCATACATGAGGCCAAAAGCACTTTCTTCCCCCACAGTGGACTTGGTTTCTGCTGTGTTATATACAGTTTTGCCACCAGTTCTTAATCCCATTATTTATAGCCTTAGGAACAAGGACATCCAACTGGCAGTCTGGCAAATACCCAGAAAACTGAAACATCTCATTGCATGATTCATCACTTCCAGATTTTTGGAAAAATGGAAACACTTAATGTATATCTGAGGTTGAATTTAGGAAATTAACTGTATTTCTTCACCTTTGAAATAGAGGATTTCATAATATTAACTATTTATCATATTAAAAGGCTCCTTGCCATTTTCACAAATTTAGTGACAGAGAATATGTCGATCTTATTATTTCTTCAGTTATGGGCCATTATTGCTGCTGCTACAGTGTTGCAGAGAACTATCTTGATTGTATCTTATATAGACATTTTTGAAAGAATTATGTTTTTGTGTTGTTACTCACAAATCTGACTCTCTTAAAATTGAAGCCCTGGTATTTGCTTTAAGATATGCTTGTCTAGTTTCTCGTTAAACGTAGTGAATGTATGACAGAGGGTGCTGTAGATTAACAATACAAATAATAAATAGTTATTGGGTGAAAACTGTTACCCCTACAAAGCTGCAATATCCAGATTTCCTGGGGAGGGGGTTGAATGTTAAAGCACTTTGGGAATGCCAAGGTGGGAATGGAGGGAACAAAAGGATCTGTGATTCTCCATCTGGTATATATGCATGTGGGGGCGTGGGGAATGGATTCTTGGACATGGCTTAGGGTAAATAAAAACAAAAACCCATAAGCATGTTGGTGGAATGAATTGAAATAGATGTGATACACAATTTACATTACAAATTCTTTTTTATTAGTTTTTATTGATTTTAACATTTTTATCTTGATCACAGTAACATAATCTCAAATATAAAGACAAACCCAAATACCCCCCTCCCCCCATGACTTCACTCAACTTCCTCTTCTGGTTTGTTGCATAATAATCTCCCTGCTTTTTTTGGTTATATCTTAATACCGTGGTACCTCGGCTTACGAACTTAATCCATTCTGGAAGTCCATTCTTAAAAACAAGCGTACTTAAACCAAGGCTTGCTTTCCCTTAGAAAGTAATGGGAAATGGATTAATCCATTCCACACGATGAAAAACAACCCCTAAAACAGCAATTCAACAATAATTTTACTGTCTAACGAGACCATTGATCCATAAAAAGAAAGCAATGGACCAGGCTGCAATCTACTACCCAGTATAAAAGCCCTTACCCTGACCATGCCATCCTGTGCCCTGTAAGGGAATGCTTTGGCAGTTACTCCTGGGGACAAGCTGCAGCAGCGGCGGTGGCAGAGGGACCCTGCGCCGGCCTCAGCAGCGTCACCCAGAAGCAGAGAAGCAGGTCCTTGATGCTGCAGTTATGAGTGTGACAGAGTAAACCCATATTGCTCGAGTGGTAGTAAGTGCTGGGCTGCAAGTGTGAAAACGCATCTGGTTTCTGGGGACCTCTCGGGGGGGGGGGAGACACTCTTACTGTTGAGTGTTTAATCAAATCCTGCTAGTGAGTTCATTTCTTTACAGTTTTTCTGTGAATACATCACAAATGGTTCCCACTCCTTTTTAAAGTATCTATTGTCTTTGTCTCTTAATCTCTCAATTTGGCCATTTCAGCGTAGTCCATGAGTTTATCTTTAGTTGGTATCTTGTCACTGTTCCACTTTTGACTAGGAGTATCCTAGCCACTGTTGTAGCATACATGAAGATTAAATTCTTCTCTTTCGGCAGATCTCGACCTATAATGCCTTGTAAAAAAGCTTCTGGGCTTTTGACAAAGGTTACAAATTCTAATGCAAATGTAACACCCCCGCATACCAGAGAATGGAATACAATTCAGTTTTGCATCCCTTATCAGTTCTTCTTTCACATCCAACTGCTTTCTTTGCAACAATGTACAAGCAAAATGAATACAAAAGGACAAAACAAATCCCCAGTGTATTTCATTGTACAGTGGTACCTCTGGTTAAGAACTTAATTTGTCCGGGAGGTCTGTTCTTAACCTGAAACTGCTCTTAACCTGAGGTACCACTTTAGCTAATGGGGCCTCCCGCTGCTGCCCGATTTCTGTTCTCATCCTGAGGGAAAGTTCTTAACCTGAGATACTACTTCCGGGTTAGTGGAGTCTGTAACCTGAAGTGTCTGTAACCCAAGGTGTCTGTAACCCGAGGTACCACTGTATCTCACTGAGCATCCTTTACCTAAAATAAATTCAAATGACAACCCTTTTGTTTGTAATTTTATATCCAAACTTGACTTTTCACTTGAAACATTCTGAATATTTTGGTTGTAGAAATGAATAAGTGAAAGGACCTTGACTAATTAATAGTCCAGAAATGATAGCATCAATAGTATTTTCGTCATCCACAGGTGCATAGCTGGCCTCATCCCCCGCTCCCCCATGAGGTTTAAATGGAAAACTTCTTATGAGAAAGCCTCTCCTCTTCCCGGAGGGGAGCAGTTGTGAGCAGGAATCGCTTCCCATGCTCGCAGGGAGGGGCGTGGCCCCTGCATCACTGGAGTCCTGGGCCCACATCATGCACCCCAGCCATCCAATCTTACTGGCTGGGGGCGTGGTTTAGCAGTTTTAAAATGGTCATGGGCCCACAAGGTCTTCCTTGTTGTCCTGGCTTCCTCAGATCACCCTCCCTCCCTCTAGATTTCGCTTCAGCACCTGACCTTGCTATGGACCTAGGTTGGTCGCCTTGGTTGTCCAAGGGGACTGGTAGGAATTGTTTTCCACTTGGCAGATTGGCACCAGCCACCTGGTTTTTTGCCTACCTCATAGCAAATCGTCACAATTTTGTAAGGTTTGGTGGTTAGGGATTGGAAATGCGTTGTGTGTTAGATGGGAGGTTGTTGCCATCACCTACCCCTCCCTTTGAAGGGTATTCTGTTAAAGGAATCTGGTGGTCGTGGTTCTTGTACCACACCCAGGTGGTGGCTAGGGCCACGGCACGACCCTCCGGTGACTCTAGGGGAAAGCTTCCAGTTGATTTCCATCAACAAGCTCTCTCTACTGGTTGTTAACCCTTGTGTGACTTCCTGCAAAGCGGGCAGGAGTCAAGTATAGTCTGTTTGGATCCAATGCCTAAGCCAATACCACTCACATTCTGTAACCAATAAAGTTGTGGCCTTTTTTAGCCCATTAACCTAAAATACTTGTCTCCGTGAGTCTTATTTCATCACAAAGCGGGGAGTGGGGCCTCGACTCACAAATCATGCTTTTTTGGATAGAGCAATTGGGACAGAACTGGGCAGGCTATGTTAAGGCCTTTTCTTCCAGGACTTTGCCCATGATGGCATATCATTGAAGCAATGAAGAGCATGACTGCCACTTCTCCCAGCATTGCTCTAGTAATAGGATTACTATCCCTCAGTATCAAACAGTGCTGATAATTTGCACCCTTGTGTTCTTTGATCATTTGATTTGAGCAAGATTGATTATTCCTCCTTGTAAGCTGGCTTGTTTGCGAATCAACCTTCCACAGTGTAAATATACAAAGTATGACTTATTTTAGGCAGTAGTGAAGAAGCTATGGATGCCCTCCCAGATGGAAAATGAATTGGAGTGTCTGGATTCAAATGGCAATTGTGTCCTGGATATGCAACCTTATCCATAAAGCATTGCAATCCAGTTTCAGTTTCATGCTAAATTTATGTGGGACCAAACTCATAGGGCAATATTTTGTGACCTTCCTCAGTTACAAAATATTTTTTGCAGTGGTACATAAGTTAATCAAGTTCAACACTCTAACCGCCACAATATATACAATCCTTTATTATTATAAAGACAATTGCACCACTTGTTGTGTAAATCAGGACTTGCAAATCATTATGGTGAGGTTCTCCAAGGAGTGATTCTCTGAAACACTACAGAAATTTAATGATGTTCTCCATGGACCTACTGTCTGAAACACTACAGACAGCAGGGAGGCTCATTTATTCTTCCTTGTCATAGAATCCATATCTGCTACTAAAGACCACACTCCAGCATTTTGGCCCTTCTTCTTCAAGACAAAAATAGCGGTGAGTGGAATCCCCTTTGTTCAACCTCAGAGGAGACTAGGCCTTGAAAGGTGCTCATATTTCAGTTCTGAAAAGACCTCAAAATGTTTAATACAGCATTAAGATTAATGCAGACATGATTATTCTATGATAAAAATAGATTACATTTATTGGTAAGAGAAGATAATAATGTAATGTTTCAAAATTGTGGTGATTGGACTTAAACCCTGAGCTCTCATCAAAGCCACATGATATTTCATTAATGCTAGGTGGTATGTGGTTTGCATTTTTTTAAAAATAAAGTAAAAGCATTACTGTTAGCAAAAAAAATTTCCAAACCATCACAGTTACGTTCCTTTATGTAACCACACTCCAAGGAGGTGTTTTTTTTTCATTTACAACTAATAACAAGGTTGCCCTTATAACCTATAGTTAGGATTTGATTCTGCTTTCTCATTCTTGATTCAACATGCAATCAAGATGGGTCTCAACTGAGAAGCTCTCCATGCTCCCTTCCAACTCTAAAATGCTACGAGCACTGGGTGAATTAATGGTGTCAGCTGAATGTCTACCACTGGCATAACTCATTACCTCATATTGAGATAGGGGGCAAACCCCACATACAATTGCCTGCATATTCCCTTCAACCAACAGACTTTCATTAAATCCTTTCTAATTTTAGGTGCCACAACTGCTCTGCTGGTGTTGCTAAAACACAATAACAGAGCTACTCTTCTAGAACTTTTTTTAAAGAAATACTTCCAATAATTAAGATGACCAACCAGTCTACAGTGACAGAATTTCTTCTGATGGGCTTCTCCAGTGACCGAGAAGAACAATTTTTTTACTTTGTGATATTTCTCTCCATTTATTTAATCGTCTTAGTGGGGAATTTCCTCATCACCATTGCTGTTGCCCTGAACCACAAACTACACACTCCGATGTACTTCTTTCTGGTCAATCTATCATTAACAGACATTTGCTACATCTCAACCACAATCCCCAAATCCATAGCTGCTTCTTTGTCAGATGACAAAAGGATTTCTTTTGCTGGCTGTGTTGCACAGGTTTTCTTAGTTTTGACCTTTGCAGGTTCTGAGCTTGCCTTGCTCACTATCATGGCTTATGATCGCTATGTTGCAATCTGCCACCCTTTACAGTATGAGCTAATCATGAACTGGGATGCCTGCATCCAAATGGCAGCTGCGTCCTGGATAAGCAGCCCAATCCATTCATCATTACATACCATTATCACTTTCAGGCTAGATTTCTGTGGGTCCAATATTATTGGGCAGCATTTCTGTGATGTCCCTCAGTTGCTTAAGATTTCTTGTACTGACACAAAAGTTAACCAAATTTTGATTCTTGCCATTGGAATTACTGGAGGTTCATTTTGTGGAGGGTTCATCTTTGCTTCCTATGGCTACATCTTCTCTGCTGTGCTGAGAGTCCCTTCTGTTCAAGGCAGATATAAAGTTTTCTCTACCTGCATCCCCCACCTGACTGTCTTTTCTTTATTTATGAGCACAGCTGTGTTTTCATACATGAGACCTAAAGCACTTTCTTCAACAATGATGGATTTGCTCTCTGCTGTATTGTATAATGTTTTGCCACCCTTACTGAATCCTATTATTTATAGCTTTAGGAACAAAGACATCCAAGAGGCCGTATTGAAAATACCAAAAGGAATTAGAAGTCTCCTAGCATGATTGAATGCATTGTGCCTCATACACATCACAATTCCTGGGCATTGTATAAGAATGCAAATGTCTGTGAAAATAGCATAAAAATGCATTATACTACATAATAATGCTTTGCAAATAGGTGTGTTTGGGGCAAATCTGCAGATAAAATGTGTATATTAGGAAAGTTTCACACATGATGTCTGATGAGTTTTCATTAGGACACAGACAGACAGACACACACAGAGAGAGAGAGAGACAAAGAGAGGGGGGAGGGAGAGAGTTGTGGAAATGTGAGGAACGGGATCTAATACTGAGAAACTGAAAGACAATGAAATTGATGCATTTACCCTTGCTACTCCCAGCATGCTCTATTGGGTTTCTTTTTAAGTTGGGGTGTTAGGTGGGAGGAAGAGTAGAATAAGTCTTTGCAGAAATGATGAGGTCTCTGAACCACATCTGGATCCAATACTCTGTCCTCAGTTTCTCCCATAACTGTGGCCCTTCCTCCTATACTGTTTTAGAGGTGTGTTATTCTAGCACTATACTAACTAGGTCATGCATGTAGGGGTGCATGACATATTTTATTGGTATTTCTTTTTTAAAAGAGCTATGTCAGGTCAGTTCAATGAGTATGAATTGTTGTTTTGATTCTATATAACATTTATTCTGATTTCATCCTGATTTGCCTGAGCAAATCAATCAATCATTTATCCCACAATTTTCAGTGTGTTTCTCCATTACTTCCCTAACTACAAAAAGGTTGTTTTTGTTAATGGCTGCTTACCATTAAAGATCATGTATTAATATTAATATGCAAAGATTAATTATATTGGGGAATTGTGATTTAGCTGAATATGTATATTATGCAAAATTCCATGCAACATATGTATTAAAAATTTGCACTGGGAATCTGACTTCACGTGTGTGTTTGTGTGTGCTTGTGCAAACCGACATAGAAATATGGAAAACTGAATTTAAGATTGGGAAAATGAGAAACTGAGAGAAAATGAAATGGACGTTTTTACCCATTCCAACTCCCAAACTATTCAGTTGGGTTTTTTGGAGTGGGGAGTGGTAGAGGGCAGGACAGGATAAACAAAATCTTTGCACAAGTGCTCTGCTTTCCAAAAAACAATTAGATTCAGTCCACACTCCTCAATTTCTCACATAAAATCTGCCACTTCCTCCCTCACTGTTTTGCAAACATGCTATTTGCACTTTGAGGACCCCAGGTCACCCCCATAAATAAATTGACACAGAAACGTATTTTAGTTTAAAGGTTTATGGGCAAAATTTAGGCCACATCTTTATTGATTACACAATGTGAGTGGTATTGGCTTAGGCATTGGCAAGACTATAACTGACTCCTGCCCTCCCAGCAGGAAGTCTGAAAGGGTAAACACCAAACGAGGGAGCCACATCAATGTAAATCGACTGAAGCTCACCCCGGGGTTCCTGTGGTCCTGGCATGGCCCTAGCCCCTCAAGCGGACTTTGGATGAGATCCAGGACCCCCTTCCTCCTTCACTGTTTTGCAAACATGCTATTTTACTATCAAGTTAAATGAATTATGTATACACCTGTAAGTAGTGCATTTTTTAGTTCTTTTTTAAAAAATAAAATGCTGTGTCCATCTTAGAAGACTTCTAATTTAAACCTCTTTTTAATAATAATAATAATAATAATAATAATAATAATAATAATAATAATAATAAACAACAATTTTTGTATCTATGTAATTTGTATTTATTTATATGTACATATAGAGTTGGGGCACCTGAGCAACAAAGTGCTTTAATTTGCTTGGCTTGAATCAATTTTAGTGCGGCTTCAGGTCTGGTCATGGCACTGAAACTGCCTTGATGTCAGGGACTGGACTGAGGAGGAATGGTGGAGCCCACTTTCCCATCCCCCTGAATCTTCCAAAAGAAGGCAGTATAGATTTACAACTGTGATTTGCAGAAGGCTCAGAGATAGAAGTGGAGCAAAGCTGGGAAATAATGGGAGAAGAGCATGGGGAAGAAACAGAACCAGAGCAGCTGGCTGACACATTACCACTAGAAACATTCCAGACTCCCTTCTCCCATAACGCAGAAAGCAGTGAAAGTAGGAGAGCAAAGAGTTAAGTGGCCTTAAGCAGGCACCATAAGGGGTGTGATTGAGAAGGGAAGGGCATGGAGATTACTTGGAGCAACACCATTACTCCAAGTGGCAGCATTCCAAAGCCTCTCTCTGTGAATATTGAATAAAAGACATTGTAAGAGTTTTTCTTGCCTGCTTATCCCTGGCACCCTGTCATTGGGGGACGGGGATCAGATTCCCTGAAGCCTGACACTTGGTCACCCTAGCTGATGGTATTTATTTGGAGAGAAATGGGGGAATTTATTTTGGGGTTTTTGTAGCTGATTCAACAATGTCACTGGGCTCAGGGGGCCTTGTTGGCTAATAATACCTTTGTTCAGCTCTGGTAAAGAACATACAATGCATGGGAAAAGTCCCAAGTTCAGTCTCTGTAACATACAAGTAAGTTGAACAAATACTTCTGTCTAAATCCGTGGAGATCCATTGTGGGCAAGTATGGCCAACATTGAGCTGCTGTGTGAGCACAGCTGTGTTTTCATACATGAGACCTAAAGCACTTTCTTCTACAACAATGGATTTGTTCTCTGCTGCATTGTATAATGTTTTGCCACCATTACTGAATCCCATTATTTGTAGCTTTAGAAGAAGAAGAAGAAGAGTTTGGATTTGATATCCCGCCTTTCACTCCCCTTCAGGAGTCTCAAAGCGGCTAACAATCTCCTTTCCCTTCCTCCCCCACAACAAACACTCTGTGAGGTGAGTGGGGCTGAGAGACTTCAAAGAAGTGTGACTGGCCCAAGGTCACCCAGAAGCTGCATGTGGAGGAGCGGGGAATCGAACCCGGTTCCCCAGATTACAAGACTACCGCTCTTAACCACTACACCACTCTTGGATAAAGATATCCAAGAGACCATGCTGAAAATACCAAAAAGAATTAGAAGTCTCCTAGCATTATTTCTCAAGTTGTGTGTCACACATATCACAATTTTTTGTGCAAATTTCTAGTGCCCACTTTTGAGTGATGCCCTCCTCTTCCAGCCCATCTCCTGTTGTTCAGAATGTACTCAGGTAAAGAGTGAATAAAAATGCATTTATTATTAAAAATAGCAATAGTGCTTTGTAAAAAGAAGTGTATTGGGCCTATGGCAAAGCATAGAGATGACTGTTTGGGAGAAACTTTGGAAAGTATATTTTATATTTAGTGCATGTTATATGAAAAAGGCTGCTCACTTGGTCCTGCGGTGGGTGGAGTTTGCAGAACAGTGCACGATTTCCTCATCCTCCTGAAGCCATGCTGTTCTGCCAACCGTTGCTCAGCTCTTCTGGCCGCCACAGTACTGAATGGGTTCGCCAAACCCAATTCACATTCCAGGCTATCCACAGCAGCCTGCTCCAGAAGCATAAAAGGGGCCCAGAGCTGACGCTGGCAACACAGTCAGCCCAGAGCATCAGGAGCAATGCATCAAGATCCCTTCACAATCTTTATCCCACCTTTTGAGCGCCAGCTAGGAGCACCTGTTTTTTGCCCGCTGCCACTGCCTTCCTAGCCAGCTTCAACCGTCTGGAGGCCTCATTGAAGGACCCTCCCTTGCGGTGTCTTGCTAGAGCGATGCAGCGTTTTTGAGTATTTGAGAGCAAAGTGTGGCAGCATTAAAGAGCCCACAGCTCTTTGCTTTAGCCATGTTGTTGCAGCTCTTCATCCCCAAAAGCCCCATGTGTTATATACTCTCGATTCTATGCTCATAATGCCAAGCTTGCAGGTTCACAATTAATTCCGAGCAAAGCCAATGGGCCTTTTCTGGGCTTCACCAGGGGACACTATAACCCTGCTGCATTTCTCCCCTAGAGCGGTGCGTGGCATCACAGCAGGCCTCAACATGACTTCAAACATTACTCTTATTCAAGTGAATATTCCTCCCGCTCAGTCTCTAGGGACAGAACTATTGTCTGCCTTCAAAAGCATCAAGAGCGGGTTGAGGCATGCACAGTGAGATCACATTCTCCCTACTGCCGTTCACAGATGTCTCGGCCCAATTGTAGGTCTCCTTCCACCTCTAACCTATCTGACAATTCTTTGAGCCCTGAACCACATAGGTCTCGGTGCAAGAGAACAAGACCCCACAGAACCAAGAGAAGAGGATGCAAGTCCAGATGGGACTCATCGGATTCATCGGATTCCTCACGTAGGTCTGACTACTCAGACATGGACTATGAGGACCAGATTAAGGGGTACTGTGTCACAACAGCTAAATTGCCTGGTCTCCCAAAATGGGTCTGGAAAAGTAGAAATAAGAGGCACAGGCATGACAATGGTGTCATAGCCCCTTTTGGTGATGAGGGCTTAGACTCCAGGGAAGCACATTAGAGAGAGTAATTTTAAACGTATGGTCTCAGCCCTGTGGGATTCGCTTGCAAAAAAAAATAATATGTGAGCGTATTCTTAATGGCGAGTTTATAGACATGTTTTCCTTGCTGTGGTATAAAATCAGAACCTGCCAAGTGATGACTGCATGGGTAGAGACTTTGGAAAGTATATCTGAAATTTAGTGCGTGTTATATGAAAATAATGTATAAGTGGTACTTAGAACCATAATAAGTTAGCAAAAATGTATTAAAATGTTCCAAATATGTGCAGGAAATGCCAACAGGAGGAATGGTCATCTTATCACATGTAGTGGTCCTGAGAAAAAGCTATTTTTGGGAAATTATATATAATGAGTTGAAAATGATGTTTAGACTGATAATTCCTTTAAAAAAACACAAACCCGCCCCTGAAGCCTTTCTGCTAGGAATAACAGGAATGGAAGTCCCCACCCCACCCCAAAATTGACCAATTTATTTTTATATGCAACAGCAGCTACAACTTTATATGCACAGAAGTGGAAAGAAGAAGGATTACCAAGGAAGGAGAATTGGCTTATGAAATAAATAGACTTTGCTGAA